TGTAATCCATATAAATATTCTCCTGAACCGTTTCAAGAGTGTGCTAAAGCGCTTCCTAAAATCCATTAGTTGTCCATATGTTATGTTACGTTATGTTATGTTATCTTATGTTATGACTACTGTAAACAGTCTACATGTAAGAGAATCCAAGGCAGTCTTGGATTCTAAATTCCACTCCTTGGAATCTGGATCACCAGATACTGGATTCCAGATTCCCAGTGTCAGTGGAACTTGGATTCAAGATTCCAATCGTTAGTGTATTCCGGATTCTACTAACAAGCAAAAATTTCCTGGATTCTGGAAACTCTATTAGACCTTACATGGGACGATCATACACTCTAAGTCATTCTCAAGAAAAGTTTCCGTTATATTGTGACATAAATAGATGTGACGACATTGCAGTAATAATAATAAGAAAAAAGACAGTTGCATCTACGGCATTTTTTTAAAAGAAGCATCAGGTGATTTCAATGGCAGTAACAAACGCGCTATGAAAGTCTTAACTTATATATAAGCGACACGAAATCCACGACTTCTTGATACACTCGGACGCGCGACAGGCTATATCTAGCCTTCAAGAAAGAAAACATCAGCATCGGAAATTAAGTATGGTCATCACACGGTGGCAGTTTTTCCTTATCTATTCAGCTGACAAAACAAAATATATTAACGGAAATGCTTACTAAAGAAAACATCTCAAGCCTCTATGCCAGATCATCCGGCCAAGCAATTTTATACTGTAGCTACTGCTGTCGAGCTTCTTTTAGCGATTTGTCCTCGTCCCTTCAGGCGACCAAAATTGTTCTTTATTTATCCAAAAGTTTCCTTTAAATTTAAATAAAAGCAGCTTTTCAATTCGTCTTCTATTCCCCGATTTATTTTAACAACACAAGTGTTAAGTAAAAGTTTGAAAATTCTTCTCGAATTTCTTTTTATTTCGACTGTTTTATCCACTCATTATATGCTATTTTCGAACCAGTAAACGCACGACCTTATAGATTCAGCGTAATCAACTGTTTTAAACATTCTATAAAAGTTTCAAATCTGATGAGTGCATTTTGAGGGTATTCACCCCACGATACTCCCCTGCATATTCGCCAATGAAAATTGCGTACGTGTGAATGACGTGTGAAATAAAAGTTAGCCTCATATAAATGAAAAAAAAAAAGTGTTCAAAAAAAAGAAAGACAATGACACCAGGAGACAATATTTACATTTTATTGATTACCGCTTTTAGTTCATTTTTCTGATCTGAGTTTTATTTCCCATACAAACTCTTTATTTCCTATACAGATTCTCATATTAGGCTTGGTCCACCTGCTATGGTCCGCTTAAGTTGATTGACTTGACTTTTGCGCTTGGCGTGTTATTGAAAGCCGCAATAGCCTTGCCAATGGTCCGTTTCACTGACACCTGTGCGTCCACGGTTGCTGCAATTTCGTTTTTTACTAATAAACAATTATGATAAAGTTCAGATAAAACGCGCACTCTGATTGGTTGAAAAAGGGAAGGGTGCTTTATGAGTCTATTAAACACAGAGGTAAGCTGTCACCCTGTGTTTTGGAAATTACAATTTATTCGTGCGGAATTAAACCGATTCTTCATCATAAAACCAATAAAGAAGCCTTGACTGTTCTATTTTATTTTGTACGTAGAGCACTCAAGAAGTAGGTAGAAAAATTTCTTTCTGGCATGGCTCATGTTTAGCATTTGTTAAAGCTCACGTGTCTGGTTGCAACAGAACAGAGCACAGTCAAGACTTGTCAGTATTTGTTAAATAAAGAGCAGTTAATAATTTATATTTGAGTTTGCTAGAGCAAAAGAAAATAGGAACCAGCAATTATTCCGAATAATAAATGAAGTTTGCAAAGTTTCATAAAAAGGTACTCAGCACACGAGTTCATATGATAATACATGTCAGAGTCCAAATGAATAAATCGTTGTGTCGCTCAAACAGGGAAGGGAGTACTGACTTTAACCGTAGCACTGTTTTCCTTTAACGCGTACAAATTCAAGGTTAAAACTCACAGTAAGCTAATATGCAAGAAGAGTTGAGCAACCAAGATATTCCACTGCCACGTAATTGCAATGTGTTGCGAATTCGCGTAAAAGTTACGTGCCTAAATAAAAAAGAACGCGACGCTTTTTAATTTACGTACTTTAACTTTTACGTTTACGCGCGACCTTCAATACATTGCCTCTATTTTATTTACGCGCGTAAAATATACGTGTGTACTTACGTCAATTTCACGGGTCAGCGGAAACCCACCTTATAGAGGTTTTCTCCGTTACACTGACCGTCAGGAGTCTGCGAACGAGAAAAGGCGAAAAGAAAGTGGGGGACTGCTACTCTCCTTTCTCTCCCCATTAAAACAGGAGAGTGATGCCTGCAGACGAGGCCACACTCTACCGGACGAATTTTCGACCGCCAGAAAAATTTGACCAGACACTTCGTTCATACGCGACTTTGAACTGCTAGACGTTTGATTTCTTTGTACGGTTAAGGTAGTTCCGTGTGAACAGAAAACCTAAACGCGTAAATTTCAACCGTTTGAAAACTCGTGCGACGTGCCTTGTGAACATTAATTCTGCAACTATTTTGGGACATTCATTACTGGTCGCTTAATTGGTGGCCGCTTAACCACGAGGTTAAACTTTAATCAAAAAAATATAGGGCTACTTAAGAGACTATTACGGCTGCAACTGTCACAACTGTTTAGAACATTAACTCAAGCGTCACGTTTACTCTTGCTATTAAAAGAGTGAGAAATTAAGGAAAGGGAACCATTTACCGAGAGTACATACGAAACTCGATTTGAACCGTTTTCTCTGAAAGTTTATCCTTATGATTCAAAACGTTTGCGTTGAACAAAGAAACTCTTGACGTCAGTCCAGGGAATAAATCCTTCGCAAACTTGAGCAAAAAATTTTCAGCTCTCTGCTTCCTTCAAGATATCCTTCAAGACAACCAAGCAGCTCAGTATTTGTTGGAAAGGTAAGCGCTAAGTTGTTATGAGAAAATACAACGATAAGCCTTTAAAACAATTCCTCTCTTCATATGATCTCGAAGTCATCTTGCTAATAGTCACCGCCGCACAGTTAAACCTCGCTGAATTTTGTCTTTCTTTTAAAGAGAAGCTTAAATTCGCCATACCTTGCAAAAGAGAAGATTTTAAGAAGATACAATGTACAGCCGGTTTTAATCGCCATACCTTGCAGAAAGAGGTTTTAAGACGCTGCAGTTTTTAATTTGTGTGTTCTTTTGTAACTAGAAATTTGAAAAACATCTCCATCTTTTTAGGTTTTGAATAATACTAGATCGTTGAGCGTTTAAAATTCAACAAAGGATAAGTAAGAAAATAACAAGTAACAACCCAAACATATGCAATGGAACAAAACATCAAAGGATGTTGACCACATGTTTTGAAAAATATATGTTTAGTTTGCTTCAAAGTCCCTATCCTTTAACCGGAAACTGACATAAAAAAAATAATTGTGGTTACAAACCTATAAACGGTTACAGGAAGTTAACAGAAAGCAGCTGTTAGCAAGAATGGGTACACAAGTAGCACTCGCCTGCGACAGTTAGGGCGTAAATAATGGCGATACCCGCCATGAACAGGAAAGTGCGCACATCCCTTACCTAGTTCCCGGCAAAGGCTGGGAGGCTGTAATAAAAGATGTTGTTCGTTCTACGTACTGGAGTCATCAAAAAGGAAGTTCATATTGACAAGTTTATCTCGGCGATAATTTTTCTGAAAGGTTTGGCAAAATTAAAAAAAGAAATTGCATCTTGTTTACACTATGGGAGGTCTACCGTTCGGTTAATAACTTGGTTAATCGTTGCACGTTGCAGTGGGCAGAAGGGTTGTAGTATACGTAGCGAACTTCTTTATCGGACTTCGTATACCAAAGAAGCTTAGATGAAGTTTCTTCAATCATTGGCTCTTTTAATATTCATTTAAAGATATTTTCGAGGTACGATAACTTGGAAGTTGATTGACTTTTATTGGCACAATTAGTGTGCGATACAATAGTCTCTTTAATGACTTTGAGTTTAATGGAGGCAATATTCTTGAAAAGTACCCGGGGGGGGGGGAACTCCCTAATATTGGCACAATTAGTGTGCGATACAATAGTCTCTTTAATGACTTTGAGTTTAATGGAGGCAATATTCTTGAAAAGTACCCGGGGGGGGGGGGAACTCCCTACAATAGCCTATACGGGGAGGCTCCACCCAAAAGGAATATCTTATTTAGGCTTCAGCTATATAAAAGAGTGGGGATTTACTAGCTGAAGTATATGAAAGGGTAGGGAAATCTATAATTTCGGTCTGTAAAAAAGGTCCGAAGCGTTAGCAAATGTATTTTATGGCTGTGACAAAGTAAAAAAGAAAAAAAAAAACGTTCGTTTCGTGATTTATTCATAGTTTAAAGGACATTGGATCAGAACAGCAGCTAAAATGTATGCAAAGTTCCAAACTAGGTATGTGATAGGGGTACTTTTTCTGTCATAATTAAATGGTATACAAAAGGGTAAGGGGCTGGACCTCGGGGCGGAGCCTGCCCGTATAAACCTTTCTTGAGTACTCCCCCCTTCCCAGTGAAATAAACTTTCTACCAGGTGATCCATTACTTCTTAGTGACTTGCAGTTCAATGAGCGCCAACAATAACAGCAAAAATTCACATATAATATTTTGTCCTCAGTTCTCAGTCAACCTATTCATCGTACTCTCCCCTTAATCGCTGCTTTTGATTTTTTCTTTCCACAGGTGAAAGCAAGGGATTTATTTCAGCGTTAACAAAAGTATCAAGAAATTAAAGTTAAGGTGAGCACTCTATTGAAGAATTGTTGTCAATGTACAACCTCCATTCTTGATATTTAAGGAGTGGACTTCAGTCCTCTTAGTCCACCTTCTAATTAACTTCCTTTTTTCAACTAACCAAACTTAATTCGATTTCTTTCTGAAGGGAGGAGAAAAGAGAATTAAAAGAAAACAATGATCTCCGGGAGGATCTCTTCAGCCGAGTGCAGCACATGGCATGCTGTAACCCTTACTATAACTGTTGGTGTGGTTGCAGTGAACCTCCTATCAATTATTCTTTTTGTAAGGAACAGTAATCTTCGCACTCGTGCCATGTACTTGGTTATAAACTTGTCCGTGGCTGATATGTTTGTTGGGGGAAGTACCACTTCCTTTGTAGTATTTCATTTCCTCCTCTACGGTTGCGAATTTGGAGATGTATTTTTCATCCGGCGGAAATTGCCACCTGTTTTTCTTGTGCTTTCCACGATCCAGGCGTGGCTCCCTCTCACCTCTGTAACAGGCATTGCAGCAATTTCTTTGGATCGGATGCATGCGACGTTTCGTCCATTCAGGCATCGCAACATCCAAAAACGGGCCTACGGGGTAACAATTGCGGGCGTCTGGATTTTAACTGCGATGATAGCAATTCCCTTGCCCTTAATAAGTCTCTATGTGAACTTGCAACAACAGTGGCAATTGTTTTTTGCTTTGTTCTTATGGCTCTCATATTGCTGCCTTTGCCTTATTGTTATCTGTGTTTCTTACACCTCCATTGCTTTAAAATTTTGGTGTGGAACTCGTCCTCCGTCCCATGGTGCTGCCAATATACAAAGAAAACTGACTGTGACATTATTCATAATGACCATTGTATCTTTGCTGCTGTGGTTACCATTTGTTGTACATACTTTTGTTCTCCGTTCTGTTCTAGTTAGATTTTCTTTCCTGACACATTTACGCTTGACATTATTTTTTTCTCTTTTATACTTCACAAACTCGCTTGTTAATCCTATTGTTTACACAATCAGAATGCCAGAGTTCAGAAGAGCTCTCCTGAAATTATTTAAACGTCGACAAAGACAAAATGCTGCTATTCCTCTTCAAGCCCGTTAATTTACCTTGTCTAACACTTTATTGTAAGTTCAAATGATGACCAGTCAACTATGTCAACTATTGCTGTTTTGCTGCATGAAACAAAATCTCTCGAAAATAGTAGTTCAATGCATAGTTTTAAAACTAACTTTAAATCTATAGAGCGATTTTTCCATGACCTCAAAAAATGGTTTCGGTAAGTGTTCGTTATTTGTTTTATCAAAGATCAAAACATAGACTCTTCGTGTTCCCGCCAAAGAAAACCCTAATGCGGAGAAGGTATTGTTCGATTGGCCAATCGTGTTGCAGTATGACGTCAAAGCAAAGTATCGATTGATTTCCGGAAAGTTCTTGGGCATGAAGGTTTTTCACCCGAGTGTTTGCTTAACCAACCAAAAGCCACGCGCGTTTGTATCCGTTCGATAAACCAATCAAATCGCTCTAATTCCGTTGGTGTATTGTTTCCTGCTTTGTTCGCGCGTTTTCATTTCAAGGTCATACGAAAATCGCTCTACAAAGAGTATAAATACATATACAGAAGCTGTTACTCATTTAAAGGGGCAACGTCACGCTATTTGCTATCTTTTTTAGAGAGATAAACTTTCTCTCCGCATCAATTGATTTCCAAACATAATGGTCCAGTTTTGTTTTTGTTTTTTGTTTTTTTTTAAGATTATATGACATATTTAGGCATTGAAAACGTTTCCTGTTGTTGTTACAAATGGTTGGCAAGGCTGAGCCAACGTTTTCAAGTTTTAATAGTATCCATTCGTAAAAATTATTATGGTTAGTCGGCTCCCTGACGAAATTTGTTTGATATCTTCTTTATAACTCTACAGGAACATTTTTGTGTATGGCTAAAGGCACTAAATAATGAGGTCAGCAAAGATTTGACCTAAAACAGCAATATTCCCATGTCATGGCTCCTTTAACCAATTAAAAAACCCTTTAAACGTTAATATTCAGTAGGGATATTCTCCAATGACCGCTTGAGGAAATGTCCAATGGAATTGACACTTTCCTTGGGCAATTCTTTTCCCTCCTATACGATTATTAGCCAACTGGTGATACAAATTTCGTTCATTTGGATGGCCGTATTGCTGAGGCAGATAGACCCCTATTAAACTGTGTAACCAGGGGGGGGGGGGGGCCCCCCCCCGGGGCCCTATTGTGGGGGGCCCCCCCCGAAAGGGGCACCATTTTCCAGTCTCAGGCCACCAAAAGGGCACACTTTTCACGGGGTTGAGTATCAAAAATGGGGGGGAAAGACAACGAGGG